GGGGGTCTGCATCTGAGAGAGGGAGTGCTAGAGAGTGAATGAGGAGAGGGAGCTGCGGTAACGAGAACAAAGTGAATCAAATAATTAAAAGGTTATTTTGTGATTGTTTCACTGTGGTTATGTTCTAGAGTGGCCAGTATAGACACGTGGGTGAGGCACACGTGAGATGCTACATGCTGTACATGCTATGTTTTTGGTCTGTACAACTGTGTGTGCAACATGAACCATCGTGCATGCAAATATGACCGGCACCGAATCAGATACCAGTCACCAGACACAGCCAATCAGGCTAAAACTAAATTCCAATCTCCAACAATCCATTGGTGCATCTCTCATTTTCACCAAGTTGACTCCCTCCACATCCTGTGTTTGCTTTATTGTTGATAAAAAGATGCAGGGGTAGTAGAAAGAGGAGTTGGCATCAGAGTAGTTGTAGGGGGATGAACAGTGACAGAAGGAGGTGAAGGAGAAAGAGAGGTCAGTGTAAGTGAGGATAAGTGGTGTGGGGGTAATTAAAGGAGGATGTGGACTACAGCATGAGAAAGAGGAGGCAGCTCCAGGTAACGAGGTGGTGGAAGAAACTGTGGCACAAATCAAACCAGGACGTGCAGTGTGTCTGTTCGTACCTCCACAAGCTTGTAAAAGCGGCTGTAGCCATAAAACACAGCTGCTGTGGTGAAGTTCATCTAAAGAGAAAGAGAGAGAGAAAAACACTGTCTATTAAATCTGATTGAGTATCTTTTTTTTATTTCAATCAAACTCAACGCACTGTGCTAGGCAGGAGGCGTGGTTTGTCCTCCAGCTTGTAAGGCATCAACAGGGTGTCGATGTGGTGAATGACTCCATTTGTTGTGGTGTAGTCACTCTTCACAATCCTTGATCTGTTGTTGAGCCAGACTGAACCCTGCAAGAGGGGAGAGATGGGTGTGGACACGTTTTCATGATACGAGGTCCAGTTTCAGTCTCAACCAATAATAGTCAGCAATTTCATCATTATTTTTTGTGGCATCTAGAAGAATCTGGACTTCTTTCAAGACGCTAGAGAGCGAGCAAGTAATAGTCAAAGATTCACTTCCACTCACACTGCAAAACCTTAAGCTTTTTGCTTCATTGAGCTGATGATCAGTATTCTGTTTTATTCAGTCTAACATCTGTCTGTTCATTTAGTTTTTGCACAAACATCATCATGGCCTGTGTGTGTTACCTGCTGCAGGCTGAAGTACAGCATGTGTCCTGATGTTGAGACAACACGCTCTGTGGTTTTGAGGTCACTCAAGGTCAAAATCTCACAGGAAACAATGTGGTAACGTATCAGGTCAGGAAGACGACCAAATGACTTCCAATCCTTGATCTACACACAAGTCAATAGTGTACACGTTATCAACTATGTTCCAGAATTATGGCTGGCGTGCAAAAATCACCCTTATTACTATTCATTAATATTGTGATTCCGCTTGTAAATGATCATATAGTTTTTCTAAGTAAGACACCATATCTTAAAGATACACTAAACCAAGACAGAATTAGCAATATTATTGTTGCATTAGATAAAATACAAAAAGCAGAGGCTGTTACTCACAGAGGATTTGTTGTTGGTTTCTGCTAAAGGGGCAAAGACAGTGAAGGGTCCATTACCATAAAGAATATGATTGTCCAGCTGAGACAAACAAAGAAAAAGTGAATGCATGTGATCACGAATGAGATCATTTTCCACCAAAAAGCTCCAGGAACTATGGAACAGAAGAAGCTAATCTCAGGAACTAAACTGGGAACTGAAAACCCCTTTTGCGCATCCATGTTTGTGTTTCCTCCACATCTAATAAACCCAACAGGCTGGGCAAATCACACCACAGATTTAAAAATGAGAGCAGCATTTGGTTTCACAACCCAGACAACAAGTCTGTAAAGGTTGTCTGTTTTCACTGAGCCTAATGGGAAGAATTAACCTTGTGGATTGTACGGTAGGGATTTACTAACTAACCAAACTAGTGACCTAATCATCTGCAGTAATACAAATAAATTACTACAACAGTGTCCGTGTTTACTCTCAGTCAGTTTTGTTGGAGTTGAGTTTTGAATCTTTGTAGCAAAGTTAGTAAGTGCAAAGTTAGCATGCCGCACAGCCTAAATGAACACAATTATAAGACAAACACTGAGGGTGAAAGCTTATTGAAAACATGATGGCAACACTAGCTGGAACTAGCAGCAACAAGACTGCTTGCTAGCAGGCAGAAGGACAAAATTTGTGTCTCAACATTCAAGTTAAACTTGGTGGAAAAAACGGGCAACCCTGCTAGCAAAATCCACTGAGTGCAACAATTGCACTGACATTAACTCATGTCACTGCAAAAAATGTCTCAATCTTAAATGCTTTTTATAGCTGTTAGGAAAATGCTAACAATACACTGGATGAAATAACCATCACCAAATATAATTCAATGGACTAAACGGTGAGCATACATAATGATATAATAATGAGTTATAAACAACAGCCCAACTACAAATGAAGATGGACTCCTGTGGAGATATACTAAAGGTTATGACGTTTGTAAATACTGATTGGCTCTGCTCAATGTTAAATGTTTGAAGAATAAATAAAGTTCCAAAAAAATGAAAAAAAAAATTGTGAAGGAGTGAACCTTAACGAGACCCTAACATCAGCCCTGAGCTGGTTCAACCCCGCCCAATAATAATGCTCAAAACCGCTTGCTAGTCAGCTGGAATTGAAGTGAGATAACAAAATAGTCACACCAGCCTACATAAAGTTTTAACAAACCATCCATGTTTCAGTTAGCAGCATCAAAATAATTCCTAAAAGAGAAGTTTTATTTACTGAGTGGATTTCAATGTGGCTGACAGCAACTCACAGATAGCATTTGATGGAAGAAGGCATTCTCCGGAAGTCGTGAGATCTCCTGTAAGACAGACAACTTCTGTGAGTGGGGGGAGGGGTATAGCAGTGGGAGGTCAGAAGTTAGTGTGAGGTCAGAGGTCATATGACTCACATTGTTGGTGTTTCCCCGGCAGTCGATGCCATCGCCCACATAGTCTCGGTAGCAGGTGCAGTTCCTCTGACCATCGCCTATGTACTCACAGCGAGCGTGCCTACTGCATCCACCGTTGTTCTGCTCACAAACAAAATAATTCTTTAACTGCTGATAAAGGACAGGTATCAACAGCCCTGTAACCATTTCTATGCTTGATAAAACCACTGATATTGTTTGTGACTGCACAATACAAAAAACATCTTAGCATAGTGTCAGCTTAAGACTAGCACCTCTCTCTTCAAAGAAACAACAGCTTAAAAAATTATTTTTCAAAATCTTTTATGAAAAATGCTGCAAAGAGCAAGGGGATTTATTATTATTACATTACTGTGCACACGTATATGATGTGCACAAACATATCTGTGCAGTTTGGGCCGTAACAGGCAGCACAAAAACCACGTTTCCATTATTACTGTCAACCATCTATAAATAAAGTGCACTTAGGAGAACTGGCACTGTTTTAAAGTGGCCACACCAAATACTGATTGATTTAGATCTTTTCTGTTTACTGTCGTTTTACTGTTGAATGGCATTATTTATGAAAGCATCCTTACTTTAATGTCTAAAACCTCTCCACAGGTATATTTACAGTATAAATAAATGGGTGGCAATTTGCCGAACACACCAAGACTGTAACAGACTGCAAACACAGAGAGCTTGCTGTAATGCACCACAAAATAAACTCATCTGCCTATGCTAGCAGCCAGCTCTGTCTTAACAATTTATCTAGTCCTTATAATTTTCACAAAACAAAAAATATCCACAAATAGGATGAAATAATTCCAGTTTTCCTCATGTCCGTTCCCCTTGTCTTTTTACAAAACAAATATCAGTGACTTGAAACCGAAGAGAGTCACGAAATGACAGCCACATACATTTCTGCAGGGGTTGCTGGGATAACAGAACCTCCCTAATGGTCGGAAGCCCTCCCGACACCTGCAGGCCGTCTGGAGATGACAACAGAGGAAACAGTCGGTCAGTCACTTCATCCATCTGCATCCAAATTAAGGGTTCCAGGTGGCTAAGTCAACTGCATGTCACTGCCAACATCTGGTCAGGAGCTGGGACAGACCATGCAGCTGATTAAGTCATTATTTAAGTAGTTTAAAGTCAACTGTGACTGGCCAGCTACAGACACACCCTCCATTCAGTCTCCTTGCTCTCTGTCGTCAGCTGTACTGTTTTAATGCAGCCCAATTCATGACGCAGCTGCCTTCATTTACAGCTGAAGTCAGAGGTTTATGTGCATACATAGGTTGAAGTCATTAAAACTGATTTTCTTTAACCACTCCACAGGTGTCATGTTAAAAAAAACTCTTGTTTTGGCAAGTCAGTTAGGACATGTACTTTATGCATGACAATTTGTTGAACTGTTTGTTTGAACTGTTGTTTAGAGATTATTTCACTGATAATTCACCATATCACAGTTCTAGTGGGTCAGAACTTTACATACACTCAATGGACTGGGCCTTTAAACAGCTTGGAAAATTCCAGAAAATGATGTCATGGTTTTAGAAGCTTCTGATTGGCTAACTGACATCATTAGAGTCAATTGGAGGTACAGCTGTGGATGGAATTTAGGGCCTGCCTTCAAACTCGGTACCTCTTCGTTTGACATCATGGGAAAATCAAAAGAAATCAGCCAAGACCTCAGAAAAATAAATGTGGACCTCCACAAGTCTGGTTTACCCTTGGGAGCAATTTACAAACACCTCAATGTACCACATTCATCTGTGCAAACCACACTACGCATGTATAAACACTATGGGACAATGCACCCGCCATACAGCTCTGCGTTCTGTCTCCTAGAGATGAATGTACTTTGGTTTGAAAAGAACGACTCAATCCCAGTGGCAAAATGGCTTAAGGACAACAAAGTCAAGGTACTGGAGTGGCCCGCCACAAATCTCTGGCTAAGGTGTATGTAAACGTCTGACTTCAGTAGTACATATTTTACTGTTTGTGCTGACAACGGAATGAATATGACGTGGTAGTTTTATTACAGCTCATAAACACTACACGTAAACAAGCAGTCATCCCCAGGCTGCAGCGCTGTGGTAAAAAAAAAAATCCTTTGTTATAACCACGACTCTGTTTGGCAACATCAAACTGTAACATAAATCCAGGTTAATGAAACAGCTGTGCTATGTGTTCTACTATGCTGTTATTCAAATGAACGATCACTGAGAAAGTCTGAGGCAAGAGGAAGTCTTAAGTTTACAGCCACACAGAACCCGACAGTCAGTGGGGAAGTCTTTGTTTTAGAAATGGCCAGTTCTTCCCCACAAACAATTTATCATTACACACTAGGAATGTAAAAATACCAAAAACTGTAAAAAATGAAGAAATAAATATGAAAAATACCCTTTACTAATTAATAAATCACGACAGGCCCAGGGTGTGCCCCACCTCTCGCCATGTGTCAGCTGGGATTGGCTCCAAACCCCCACGACTCTGTTCAGGATAAGCCTTATAGATAATGGATGGGTAGATGGAAATAATAAATCAGCGTTTTTGTATGATTTTCTTTTTCTCTGAAAGTGCTCCTATTTTCCTTCTTTATTAAAACAAAAGTAGCCAGCCATGACCTAAAAATTGGCACTGAATGACTGAACTGTTTGTACAATTCCAAAACAAATGATGCCACAGGCAGCAGCAGACCTTTTATAAAATAAAATCAAATATTACTGCAGCAGCTTAATGTTGCAAACAAAACAAGTCACACTCGCAGTGGAACATCAGTGTTTTAGTAACCCCTATGCATGTTTAACTGTTCAGTGGCTGTGCCAAATGGTGATCATGTTCTCAGTACTGGACCAGTTGAAGTGGGTATATAAAACTGCACTGCTGCCACACAACAGCTATAAAAGTCGACAATGGAGCACCCAGTATGCCAGTTTGAAATTCTCAGACCATCATAGTCCCACTACAGTATCGAAAAATTTTCTATTGCAAAATTACTAATATCATACATCCTTATTACACACTTTGCAGACTTAATAAAAGTTTAGTTTTTTGAAGAAAAAACTATTTCAGACTAGACAAAGAAATAAAACTGAGAAAATATGATATTTTTAACTTGACAAGTATGAGCATACTTGACTTGA